TCGCCTTGATTGAGAGTTAGATTCATCGGATCTCGTCCATTTTCGAGCTGCATTGCTTGTCGGAGTAGAAATGGCAGCAGAGGACTCTTGTTGCGGGCCTATGCCTACAGCATGCTGACCCGTGAACCGATATTCCCTCCCTAAGAAGCTGATCAGACCAGCGAAAAACCGATCCACAACGGTCCCCGACTCTGGAAAGTATCGAGCAGGTATGAGGGAGGCCAACAAGTGGCATTTTGCCGCAACACCCCGGGATCTCTTTAGAGCACTTCGCCGAAGATCACTTGGGCATGTTGCATTGACAACTTTCAAGGCTTCGTGTAAGACAAACTTGTCCCACATTGGAACTCCTGCATGTTCGCTTTTAACCTGTGGCAGAAGTCTACCGACTTGTCGAAGATGGTCTGTAATTAGGGCATGAGGATTCTCAGGAAACGACATGAAATCGAGAACATCGGTGCCGACTTGAATGCGAGGTATTGCGGGTACCCTCATTGCGCGAGGTGATGTGGGGAGAGGTCTTTCTGGCAACTGCTGCTTGATGCGATCGATCATGACTGCTGAGGTATTTCGCGTAGTGACATTTGAGAGGACGAGGTTTTCTGCGGGTGTGGCAGACGCGGGCGCCGCTGGTCTGCTGGTTTTGGGCTTGGAGGGTTCCTCCATAATTGGGACACAGATGAGGCACCGTTGAGGAACTGGACGCGTTGGATGAGCTCTCGTTCGGGGTCGACCTAGGTAAAGACGAGAAGGGCACATTGATAGAGAACAAAATGGAGGGGGGGCTGGAAATCAATAAGGCAGCAGATGTTGCAGTTGAACTTGATCTGACCGCTCAGGAGGATTGTGCTCATATGACAGGCCAGTGCCATGTGCCAAGTGGCATGCAGCAGGGAGCAGTTAAAAGTGAGGAGGCCATTAGTCTGCCACCATCGTGAAGTACGGCATAGCGATCACTTGGATGGCCTGCGGTCATTGACTAACATGTCGGTTTAGGTCGTCCGCCCTTGTCATAGAGGTGCCGTCCCGCAACCTGGAGGTCAAATTGTGTCCATGTTCAACAGGCCTTCAATACAAGTGTCTTCCAATACTGGCAGTTCAATCATTCATCTGCGAAGACCCAACGTCCGCCCTTGAGCGCCTCTTGATACCGCTTCTCGACCTCGTCCCTCTGTCTCTGCCGTGCCTGTTCCTGATTCTCTTGTTGCTCCTGTGTGGAAGGAATATCGACATCCCAAAATCCTGGAGGCGTAGATGGTGGCGCAAAGTTTGCTCTGTGCATCCTTCCATACTCTTTCGCAAGTAGATTTGCTCGAGCCTCGTGCACTAGATTCGCTCTCGCCAAGGGCGTCAGTGAACGTATCTTGTCCCCTGACCCAGAACCGAGAAAGTCACGCAACAGGTCGTCTTCTGAGATATTAGGATCAGGGGGTAGTGTCTCCGCCAAAACCCTGAAGTTTGCACCACAGCATTCTGGTCGCGTACAATTCGGTAGGCACTTCCTCGCTTCCTTGTTACGGACAACCTCTTGGAATGCATAATCAAGGCCTCCTGTGTATTTGGGGTTGACCTTGAAATCGGAGAGATCAAGCCGAAGGGCCGGCCGTGAACGGAGTGGCTCTTTCGTCTCTGATACTCTACTTGTAACAGGAGGCTTCCTGGCTGAATGGGAATGAGGTGGAACAGGAGTAGGAGGGGTCGGTGCTGTTAGCAATGCCTGCAACCGTTGACGGGGCGAAGTCTTTGGGTGAGCCTTCTTCTCCGATGGATTTTCCGTATCTTCTCGGTTGTGATCAATGCCATCCTCTGCGAGAGACGAGATTGCCTCCGCGCCTCGCTCACTCAATCCCGTGGGTTTTTGTCCTTGGACAGAGCGGCCAGCTGAAGGTACGTTGAGTTCAATTTCTTGTAGTGGTTCTACCTTCTCTAAACTGTGGACTCTTTGACGTTTTCGACCGGAGCTCTTTGGAGTTTGCTCTTCGCCCGACACAATGGGAGATGAGAGATGTAGATTCTGTGAGCGTCTTTTCTCCTTACGGAGCTGATTCTTCAGACTGTCAATCTCTGCTTGCTTCTCTGCATCTTTCCGGAATAGTTGGTCCAGCTGGGCCACAATCTCTGGCCCTTCATTTTGTTTACCTGCCTGTGCCTGTCGCAATTCCTGGATCTCGCGCTTGAGTCTTTCGTTTTCGTCTTTCAAACGCTCGATGGTCCTATTACTGCTATCAAGCTGCCGTTGAAGAGCTTCGCTCTGTGTAAGAGCGAGGACGAGGGTCGAAGTAAGTGACAGCGTAGGAGTGGACATGTCTGAGGTTGTGTGTGAACGACCTCTATACGTAGAAGTTGTCTGAAGTTGAGGCGCGTTTGGTCGGGCGCGTCGAGGACTGTTGTACGAGTACGAGGTACAAATCGAGTACTCGGCTGGTTGGTCTCCGCATGCCTTAGTCAGCCTGCGGAGACTCAGTGCGGCTTGGGTGGCTCCGTGATCGGTGGGGTAGGCGGCGACCAGATCTCCAGGCTCTTTGACAGTGAAACTCTATCGAACACTCCTGCTGCCAACCCACGCAGAGGCTGCGTCCTTGAGATGCCGAAACGAAGACGGAGCAATGATGATACTGGCAAGCAGCCAGCGCCAGCGAAACGAAGTCGCACCGGGTCCAAGCGTCATCTGCTGGACATCAGCGATGAAATTCTCCTGCGCATCTTATCATTTCTCCCTATCAAAGACTTGCTGAAGACCGAGTGGTAAGTACCTGAAGCAATACCCGTGTGCTCGCTTTTCACTAATTTGTCCACAGTGTCTCGCGCCGACTTCATTCCCTCGCTACCGACCGCGGAATCTGGAAGGTTAAATATATGCAAACATGGGTGCGGCCGCGCTTGCGACGGCTTCCACCTGCAGGCACAGGGCACCACGATCACTCGGTAGATTGGAAAAGCCGGTTCAGGATTAAATCAAATTGGTCAAAAGGCCAGGCCAGATTAAAGGAGGTTGAGGTCGCTCGGCCGCCTGCACCACCCGTGATTGCGAAAGTCCATCGGGGCATGATATTCACGGTCGATCCAGCCAATGGCTTGCGAACATGGTCTCAGCGGGATGTGACGAAGACACCAAGGGCGCAGACTCAACTTCATGGACCGTCGACCGCCACCTGCATGACTGTAGAATCCATCGACGACACAACCTATATCTTGCTTGGGTTCGACGATGGATCTCTCTCGATTTACATCTACGATCATGAGGGCCAAATCGAGCGCCGGTCAAGCCACCAGTCCGCGGACGGATCCCTAATGGCTATTTCTCTAGCTTTTCCCTACGTGATGACGGTCTCCAGAACAAAGTACCTAAGCCTGTATCATTGCGACTCGAAGGGGATTCAAGACGGAAACGCGACCGATATATTGACAATTGCTCGACTGCAGTCCGATGCCTCCTTTGCGCCCATTTCGGTAGCCTTAAGGCGCGCCCCAAACCAGGTCATTGCGACTATCGCGTATGCGTTTAGCAGATTCCAGTTTGGATGGTGTGTTGGGTTACAGGAAATTCGTCTGACCACCGCCGGCAGAGTCATGGACAGCAGATTGGCGTCAACCTTGAGCCGTCCCTACACAGGCTGGAGCAAAGGGGATATGACCACCCGATCGACAAGTTCTCTGCCATTGCCTCTGCACCCTCAACTGATGAATCCGCCTACCTCTCTTTCTTACCAACATCCGTTCCTGATCGGGACCTTGGCAGACAACACAATCATATCGTTCCTCGTGACTTCAAATGATGAAAAGCTAGAGATTAGCGCCGGACGACGTCTTTGGGGTCACACATCGGCAGTGTCAGGCGCAGAAGTCAACAACCGGGGCAAAGCCGTGTCGATCAGCTCTCGCGGAGATGAAATGCGAGTTTGGGAACTGGAACCTGTGATGGCCACTGAAAACCAACCTCGGGCCAGCACCGAGATCATAGCGGTCGATGCGCTGTGTGGTGGCGCTGAGCTGTTGCGGGGGCGAAGTCCTACGCTGGGATTCGCCTTGGGCGAGCTAAGACGCGAAATGGAGCTTACGCGACGATGGGTTGGCTTCGACGATGAACAGGTGGTGGTGCTGGGCGAACGAGGTCAACGACAGATTATGGCATTGTACGATTTTACGTAGCATGGAACGGGATGTTTTCCTCGTTTTTTCGATTTGAACAAGCACATATACACAAGATCTCCAGGGTGTCAGTCTCGAGATCAGGCTCAAGAGGCGTTTCGACTTGTCGAAATGTATCAACGTCTGGTGACAACTGCCCTTATCTGCAACGACGACGAATAGGATGCAAGGAAGCCTTCCGCGTGGTTACAGCAATGCCAGGAGAGGAGCCTGAAAAGATCCAGACCAACGGCAGAACAAGGCAGTGCATTTTTGCAGCTGGTAACCCAACCCGAGTCGTCAGGTCTGTGCCTCTCTCGTACAAGTACGCAGACAAGTGAATGGGCATGATTGGAGCCATAGACAGAGTTTTTTTTTCGTTCGATTCCCCTATTAGTATGACGTTGTGACAACCCCGGTGTCTAAGTTAATTCTGCCAATCCACGCCGCCGGCCACTTTTTCTCCATCGCATTTTCTCCTCAGCTTTAGTTTACCTAGCATTCACCTCTGCACACACACAACAAACTCGACGCTGAGGCTCTTCTTCCCATCTTGTTCCTACTGTGCTTGATCTCTGGTACGCAGCTACATATTCTCGTTATCTTTGCATGGATTGCGTCTTCTGGAGACTGAGAACTGACTGAAACTTCAGATCTCACTGAAACGAACCACCGTCCAAACAAAACATCATGGACAGAGGCTGCTATAACTGCGGCGATTCATCGCATCAGGTACTGGCGACCGATATCATTGGTCCTACATCCCCTTACTTTCATTCAGGCACGCGACTGCCCCAAAAAAGGCACACCGACCTGGTGAGTAAATCTGATCCGTTTGCCACCATCTGGCCTCTCACTTCAGATTGACTGACATGTCAAACAGTTACAACTGCGGAGGTACGTCGCACACAAGTCACTTCTAGTCCCTTGCCTTTACTTATCTCGTCCACAGCCGAAGGCCACGTCAGCCGAGAATGCACTGCTGCGCCCAAGCCAAAGTCTTGCTACAAATGTCAGTACAACCAGCGAAATGATGGAAGTCGAAACACATATATTGATTCACTTACAGGTGGGAATGAAGGACACTTTGCGCGCGACTGCCCTCAAGCTGGTCCTCCTGGAGGTGCAGGAGGTGGCTGGGGTAGCACGGGCGGCAACACCTACGGTGGCGGCTCGTCTCGAGAATGTTACCGCTGCGGAGGGCAGGGCCACATAGCGCGGTAAGATATGATTACTATGATTCGAATCGACATTTGCTAATCTCCTCAGTGACTGCACTTCCAGTGGAGGCGGCGGCGGCGGGTTTGGCGGCGGGTTCAATCGCGGTGGTGGAGGTCAGACCTGCTACGTGAGATCACTTCTTTTCTCCAATCATGAGATCTGTACTGACAGAAAGGACACAGTCTTGCGGTGGCATCGGCCATATGTCTCGGTATAGCACAGTTGGAACTTACTTGCTCTATCTGCCTGGCTAACCATTTTCAGTGACTGCACCCAGGGTCGAACTCAGAAATGCTACGTATGTTTCCCTCACCTACATCGGCAATTAGTACACTGACTGACACACGCGCAGAACTGTGGCGAACAGGGTCACCTCTCTCGCGATTGCCCATCCGAGCCATCCTCTGAGCGCATCTGCTACAAATGTGAGACCACCTTCTTACCATTGCGATACCCTTCTGACCTTGCATTCCAGGCAAGCAACCAGGACACTTGCAGTCCGCTTGCCCCAACTAGTGACTTGCACGAGCGTCTTGACGAACCGACCACTGCTTTTCCTTTCTTATCCAATTCACGCATAAAGATGGTCCCTGGGATGGTTGGTGATGTAACATCCTATCTTGAGCATCACGATGACATGATGAACACGCATTCGAGCAAATGACAAAAAGGTTACGACAGAATTTCCAATTTTCGGATTCGGCGATGGCTCAACATCCTAGGCGAACCATCTGTGGTTGGTGGAAGGGCCTTTCTGAAACCGGGTGATGACGGGAAGAGATTTCGAAAAGGTCTTTGCAATGCAGGAGCAAGCGGACGATGGAAAAAGGAGAATTTTGAATGGGGTTCGTCGAGATCAATCAGATTGCACGAGAACCAAGGACATTGAACAGACGAATTAGGCTGGGACAAACTGGGGTGTTGCTGGAAGGGGGCAAAGTTTCATTCGTTCAACGAGTCAGCATGCAGCTCGGAGCACTGACATCAAGAATCAAAGGACGCTGTGCGATGAAATACCAGCAATATGCGAAGAATTCCTGGCAGGTAGAGATGAGGTCGAGAGGAGCTCGGGCTTTCTCGTATGTCGAGATGATCCATCCCGACAAGGTTGATAATAAAACGAGAGAGCTCGCCGACCACTTCCCGTTCTTTGTTCCCTTGTCATGCTGCTGTAGCATTGCAGAAGCTTCCGCCAGCTATTCGTCTGTATAGCGAACGCGCGTTCCTGGGAGAGGTAGATCAGTGGTGATCGAATTGTTGCATCGAGTACAAGGCCATCCCGGCCAATCTTCTGACAGGAGAGACGACATGTACCCCGTATTTCTCCGAGTGCGTACGAGTAGAAGCTACCAGCTTCCAGAGACGGGATGCATTTTATAAGTATCGTGGTCCCTGTCATAGAGGTCATTACTGATAAAGGTAGCTGACGGATTGGGATCGGCGAGTCGGATGAGTGAAGTCCGGCCCCCTGCCCCGCCTCGACGCCTCGTCAGGTTTCAGGTTGCGGTCATCAACGGGCATCACTGGCACTGCCACTGGCACCTACGGGCAGCCTCTCCAATCATGTGTAGCCTATTCCAAGGTCCCTGGAGCCCTTGTCCGACACCTTACGCGTCCTCCGCAGCAGCCAAGCGCAACCAAGCCTTCCTTGCCCGTTGTTTGCTCGACCGTGATTCGCAGCCTTGTGCTGCCCGCTGCTATTTCAAGTTCCAGGAACAGCATGCGCCCCAGTCTTTTTTGTTCCCGTTCACCAACGCCCGCGTACCCAAGACCACGTACGAGTACACTGACCTCCCTGTCACCCTGTCTATCCAGCCCCCCTCCCCGGCCGACACTAGATACTGGGTATGATTATGAATGGCGTCTCAGTTCCTCGAAGAGGTCTTCGGCCGCTCTTCCTCCTTCTTTCTTTCTCCCACCAGACATTTACCACACCTCGACGACATTTCCATTCGATAACAACCCACTCGCTATGGCCAGAAGCTCAATCATCACTCTAGCTACTGCAGCTCTATTGGCAACGACTGCCAATGCTCAGTTCGGGTACGGATGGGGAGGTGGATGGGGCAATGGAAACGGAAATGGCTGTCCTCCTTGGGCCAGCGATTGTGACAGCTCCGACGATAGCGGCGATGGTAGTGGCTCTTCGTCTTCGAACGGCATCTCCCAAAGCTCGCTTTTCTCCTCACCAGCAGCGTTCGATCACGCAACTCGCATCCTGATCGCTCACGCTGTGCTGGCCTCTGCAGTCTGGGTCCTCTTTGTCCCGTCACTCGCTATCCTACTACGCCTAAACATCAAGAATCCTATTGTGCTCAAGATCCACGCCGTGGGCCAAATCCTCAGCTACATTATCTTCATCGTCGCCGCGGGCATGGGCATATGGCTTGCACAGCAGTCTGCCGCCTTCGGTGTTTGGAACGACCCTCACCCGAAGCTTGGTCTTGCGATCCTGGCATTGGCTTTCTTTCAGCCAATTGTAAGTTTTCCATCCTTGGGATCCATCATGCTTGTATGCAATTTTGTCCATGCTAATGGTGAGACCAGTTCGGATCTCTCCACCATTCAATCTACAAGAGACGTGCTCAGAACGTCCAAGCCGGCAAGCCAACAAAAGCCCCTGGCCGGACTACCCCTGGACGTGTCCACCTGTGGCTCGGTAGGCTTCTGATTGTGCTCGGGATGATCAATGGCGGCTTGGGCATCAGATTAGCATCCTTCAGCCCATTTCAGACCGATGGTACCTCCACCAAGGCCAAGATTGCCTATGGTGTCATTGCAGCAACCATGTTTTTACTCTACCTTGTGTTTGTGGTCACCTTTGAGATCAGGAAGTCGAGGGCGAGCACGGAGGAGGTGCGAAGTAGACAGCAGGTGGTCGCCAACAAGGATGGGTTGCCCTCATATGACGAGAGCGAGGAATCTGTGGGCAGACCCAGCAGATACAGCTAAATCCCTGATGACTTGGGTCACATCTGATTGTTTGATGATGTTCCCTAGGAGGACAAAAGAGACAAATGTGGTTTACGAAAAGTTCCTCCCTCTTATTCCACACATTTGATGGTGAGATGACATGATATGATAATGGTACATATAAGATCTTACATACAAGAACTGTTTTTTTTTCCAACAGATCCTTACAACTCACCAAACCCCTGGGATTAGAGCGTAGGGTACCTCCCTCTTGACCTTGGCCCATTGCTCGCCGTACTTGTTTGCCATGTACTCGTCCAGGATAGGGATAGCTCGAGCACCAAAGTCCCAGAGAAACCAGCCGCCGACAACAACACCCCACACGGGACCGCCAGACGCCAGGGCGTACCCGGCACGCCACATCGAGTAGCCCAGGTACGAGACGTGACGGACGACGGAGAACAAGCCGCTTGTATAGACTTTGCCTTTGTTCGCGGGGTCCCTTTTGAAATTGCGACGCTGGACCTCGGAGACGGTCTCGCTCAGCAACCCGCCCGCGAACAGCACCGTGCCGACGTAGACGCTCCAGGGGGCGAAATAGACGGGGTTCTCGGCCGACGCGTCGTACAAGAGCGTGTTGAGGCTGTTGAAGACAGTGTTGAAGACGCTGATGGCCACCGCCGCGCCCGGGTACACAGGCTCCTGGGCCGTCGCGACCTTCCAGAAGATATGCTTCGCCGCGGCCCCGATCGACATGGCCCAGATCACCGTCTGGTACGGCGTCAGGCCCGTCGCTGCCAGCACGGGCCCGCCCGCGACGGGTGCATGAAGCGCCGCCGCCGTCGCAGAAGAAGAGAATCCCAGCTTCGACGCCAGCAGCGGCAGCGGCGAGTGTAGCAGGAGATGTCGTTGCAGCAAGGGGTCCAGCGCCCGGAGACCAATCAAGAGCGTGTTTCCGACCAGGTCGCTCCCGTAAGACCCCCGGGGCACCAGGTCGAACTTTTTCTTGTCCTCTGCCATTGCCCTGTGCCTGTAATACTCGCAGCGACGAGGACAGAATGTAGTCAGATTCGGGGGTGACTTTGTGACCCACACGAGATGTTTTCGTGGGTTAAGGGCATGGGTAGGGTTCGCGGAGGATTGAGGAGGAGGCGGTTTATGGTGAGCGGCAGGTCCCTGACCAAGAACCACCAAACGGGTGCGGAGGGACGGAGTAGCCCATTATTGTTATGGCGAGAGAAAAGCTGTCGCTGAGCACGCCGAATCGGGTTTTTCTCGGCTCCAGCCACGACGATACACAACCATAGCGACGATGAGCCCTCTCGCCCTTGCATGCGGCGATGCATGCAAAGTCTGGGGAGAGAATGGAGGTGTCTGGCCGGTTGCATAATTCTCTCACGATTATCAGCCTGTAGCTATTACTAAAGTGCTTTATTAACGCCTTGCAAAAACACAAGGATTTGTTACTACGCAGGTATGCAGATGACGGACTACTCCGTCTATAGCAAGTTCCTACTCGTATTACTCCTGATATCCATTTTCCCCTTCACTCAAATCTTCCCACCACTTCCTTGCGCTTGGACATGGCAGAGTCTGGGTTTGACATAGGGTTCGGCCTCGAAGGTTCGCACGTACTGGTAACCGGATCTTCGGGGGCCATTGGATCAGTGGTGGTCAAAGCATTCCTTGCCGCAGGCGCATATGTGTCGGCATTTGATCTTGTCGAGCCTCGACAACCCATCCAAAACGAGCGGCTCAACTTCTACCAGGTCGACATCACAGATGAGTCCAGGGTAGAGCAGGCTATGGAGTCAGCCAGGACTGTGTTCGGGGTAATAACAACATGCGTTTTAGCCGCAGGTCTGGACTTGTCCTACTGCCCTCAACAGTCCCTCGTCGACATGCCACTTAGAGCATGGCAGAAAGTGCTGAATGTCAATGTCGACGGCACATTCCTGACCTGTCGAGCGTGGCTTCGAGGCATCAGAAGTCACGCAACACCCGCGGCCAAAAATATCTCTGCTATTCTTTTCGGTAGCGAGGCCGGAACCTTTGGAGTTCCATTGTGCGCGCCGTACGCCGCTTCGAAGTCGGCGATTCAACACGGCCTTGTCAAATCGCTTGCTCGCGACGCCGTCAACATCAACCCACGTTGTCGTATCAATGCCGTCGCGCCAGGTCCTGTAGCCACAGCGCAATTTCAAAAGGAATGCGACGATGATCCAAAGGCTTTGTGGCGCGAAGCCCAAGCAACCGTTGCATTACATCAGCCGGTTCCAATTGAGGCGGTTGCAAGAGCCTGTCTATTCCTCGCAAGCGATAATTTTTCTGGTAATATAACTGGACAAGTGTTGCCGGTTGACTCTGGGAAGAGTGGCGCTCTGCTGTGGCCAGAAGCACCATAGAGTTGGCCCGATTTACCTCTAGAGCAGCATAGGCTGGGAGAGGAGAGGTTTCTTGGTCGGTACCCAGTCCGTCCAAGTGGTTGGATCGAACTGAACAACTCTTCAACTCTTCAACTCTTCTGGAGCCTCATTTCAGTAATTCATCCATTTAGGCTAGAAAGAACATTTATGGAGCCAGCATGCCGGTTCAGAAAGGGAATGTTGTCTAGTCTGACGGAAAGGGACTGAAGGCTTTGCGACTCCAGACAAACTGAAGCCAGCTGTCGCTCTCAGTGGAAATTTGACTTTTCTTCCAAGACTGAGCCATGCCTATCAAAAGTGGCGGCAAATTTTCATCTGTGTAGCGGAGTCTTGGCCGGCCCCTATAATGTCTTGATGGCTGTTGGCGAGGGCGTCCATTTTGAGTCATACCGTTATTTATATCTGCCTGATGGCCTGACAGGCAGCATGAATTGCATGTGTCCGGCATCTTCTTCGGTGATTGGTAGGAAGCTAGGGCGAGACTTACCCGAGAGTTGTGCCACTGGGTAGGAGAGGGGGAAACAGGGTGTGATTGCGCAACCAAGCGGAATAGAGCCACAGGGCTCAACCTCTGACAAGGACGGCTTGTTGATAAGAAAACAGTCAAAGGGACATCGGGAAGGTCAGGGATCGGAGGGCTGGTAACTCGGACAAGAGGTATCTTGAGAATGGAAAAATATACCATATACCCGCTAAGTGAGGTCGACGGTGACGAAAGAAGCTCGAACCTATCGGCCCGTTTCACCTCTTTTACAGCGACTAAAATCATCTTGAATGTAGGGTCGATTGACAGAAGAGCGGGCGATCTCAGTGCGGAGAGAGACCATTTCTTCTTGTACTCTTATGATGCTGGGATTCCCACCTACAGCAGTGTGCAAATCATGCAGACGGCAGGGGTCTTCTGCGTGAATTTTTCGCCATTCCATCGTCCAACGAACACTCCCGAGAGTGGCGCAAACAGAGTAGTTGGATGCAAGGTGACGGCGTCTGAGACCGAACATCGTGGGAATCGGAGCGAACTAGCGAAGCACATCGATACTGGAAGCAGAATCTTGACCCGCGACCACTCGAATAACGCAAAAAATATGCAGCACCAATGCAGGTGTTGAAGAGAGTTCACGCGGTGACAATCAACAACCAGTGGGAGGCTCGGAGGGTTGGTGGGATGATGGCAAAACATGGAGAATGATGGAGGGGGAGGAAAATGCAGCGAGGTGGCTGCCCACCCAACAGCCAAGCCTTGACTAACAGAAACAAACTAGGCTCGTCGTAGATTGCCCCTATGAGCATCCCCTAGGGACCTTTTAGGGGGTCTCCAGGTGCCATCCAGGCTGCCCGTTAACTGAGCCCTGGGAAGCTCGGCGCAAAGCAGGCTGCTAACAAGCCCTGGAAGAACTCCTAGGAAAGGGACCTGGAAGGGCCGCTTTTCCACTTGCCAGGGCTCCGCCTCCACAATTCGAGTTCCATTTTGGTTAACTAATCTACAACTCTGTTCACTCATCACCAGCAGCGCCTGACGTCCTTCCTTGCTCACCGTGTTGTCATTTTCCACGCATTTGTCCTCGAGTCTCCCAAGGTGTGAAGCCCAACACCTTGTGTCACACATCTGTCGCATTTGCAGTTTGTCCTTGGTTGCACCTTAATCCTTGAGCGACCATCCACCAGCCACAGTCCTCGCCTCGCACAAAACAACCGCCACAGGCAACACAGCGCAGTCGGACACCGTGGAAGCTCCTCCTGCTCCAGCTCGAGCCAAAATAAAGTGAAGGGCAATTTTATGCTCTCGTTTCCTTCTTTATACGCTTCGTCCTATACCCTACACGGCTCCTTCAGCGGTTACGTTTGAGGAAGAGATGGCATAGCGGTGTTGCGGTGACGGGTACAATTTCAGGTCTTCGAGAGCCCAAAAAATCCGACAGCATGGCATCGGCTCAAGATGATGACATGTATCTCTTCCAGAATGCCCTCGGCCAAACCCCAGCATTTGCTGGTCAAGACTTCGACGCATTTCTGGAAACTCCACTCCCAGACCTCGACCAGACAACCTCGCCTCCGGGCTTCCTCAACCCGAATGACTTAACGATAAAGCGGGAAGTGGACTCTTTCAGTCCGCTTCCTCACAATGATGCGTTTGCGCGCACATCTAGAGGGTCTGCCTCAGGGTCTAGCAGCTCCTCTTCCGAAGACCCTGCGGACCGTACACGCCACATGTCCGCAGCTTCAACAGCCTCCCCTCCAGCGCACGAAGTGGTACAGAGCAACTGGGGAAGCGGGATAAATGGGTTTTCAATATCTTCAGATGACAATCTATTTGAGGACACCGCTATGGCCGGCCTGGATCAAGATTTCGAGGCAAGTAATCAGCAGATGGCTTCCGATTTCGACTTCGATACGGCTGCTAGCACACCTAGCGGATTTGACCCGGCGGACAAGCGCAATAAGATCAAACGTACGATAATGAATCAACCCTTCAACCGACAAGTCGATTTTTCCAAGTTTGGAAAGCAGGCTCCGACCGCACAACTACCGAATGGGCAACCTCAGTTCTTCTTTGCCGGATCCAGGGAGGCCTCACCTTTGAATGCAATGCTGCCCTCTGCGCAGGGACAGTCCCCATGGAGCAAGCACTCTCCATCCTCTGGTTTGGAGGAAACCTTCAACCACATCACCATGAATGGCGATTCACCTGGTAACGCGACATTCTCACCTAATCTCCAGTTTTCGTCTACCGGATTCAGTTTTGATGCGGACTCAAGTGCAACCCCTTCTACTTTCACTAAAGATATCTCTTCTCCACCATCCACGGTCAATTCTACCGAAGGATCACCAACCCTGATAGTACATCCAACCTCGCTCAAATCCCGTGTTGAAACTCAGATACCGATTAAGATGACACTCTCGCCACTTCCACCTGGCGTCAAGAAACTAAGGCTCCCAAGACACACAGTATCCAAGCCCAAGTTCCTCGCCAAACCAGAGGTCCCGCGGTCGTCAGAGATTTTGGAGCTGCATACGTCGTTGGTTTGCACAAGCGCCATGCAAGACAGGGTGAAGTTGCAACGGGCATTGGCACGCGCGAGGGGCGAAGACCCAGGTCCTTATGCTCGATCGAGTCCTGCTTCCGTCGAATCAAGCACCTCGAAAGATGATGAGGATAAGCCTTTGAATGGCGGTGAGGTTCGCATTTGTGCGGGATGCATACAGCGGGAGAGGAAAAGGGCCTCGAGGAAGAAGCAGAAGAAGCCTGAGGAAGAAGAGCTTTTCCAGAGAGATGAGGAAAGGAGAGTGGTCGTTTTCAACACCAATGAAATAAAAGAATGGGTTGAGGCTCCTCGTGAGACCAGCGGCAGCGAAGCCCAAAATGCGTCTTCTTCAGCCGCGGTGCAAGTGGAGCTACCGATGCGGATTGCCTGCTATTGTCGGCACCAAAACGAGAAAATGGGCTTCCAAGTGATATTCACAATCAAGGACTGTCGAGATAAAGTCATCGCTCAGGCCATGACCAACGCTATCATGATCACAGATGATCACAAAACTCACAATCCACCAGCGGTCATCCCGAATCAACAGGCACCTTTGCCAACTCCGGGACCACAGTTACCAGGAGCAGGCGTCTTCTCCAGTACTGATCACGAGGTGCAGCCTCAGACACAGGTCATCAATGCCAAAATGTCTAGGCAGGCGTATTCCATGACTGATCTGCATGCGTTACAGCAGACTTTCACCCCCAATTTCCCCCTGGCCCCAGCGAACACACCATATGCCATTCCGGCGACTGCCTCAAGCCAGGCACTGGCCAATTTCGCACCACGAAATCTTTCCAGACCTGCCTCCCCGAGTGGTCCGTCAGGTCCGACTTCAAAGAGAAGGAAACAAAGTGGTTCCGGAAAGTTGCCATCTGGCTTGACAATGACTCGTCTCGACACATCGCAGGTACTCCCCGGGGCTTCCACTATGCCTAATACTGCCGCGTCGTCTCCGTACGCTCCAAATATGGCATCGTACATCGGACCGAACGATCGCGCATTTGCGATGCCTGCTACCCGGCCTGCACCTTACGGCAATAGTCCTCCAACACCCAATGGAGTTGAACCTTCATTCGCTGCCAATATCAACCGCTCTGTGAGTCACGAAAATCTCCCGCGGCAAGTAATGATATCAGCGCCACCCTCCCGTCAGCCAAGCAGACCTGGTAGTCCCGGCTCTGCTAGGAACAGCTTTGGAGCTGCCGATGCCGCCTTCGGTCAAGCGGTTAGCAACCAATTAATGGCACAACCTGCTCGACGGCCACCGCCGCTGATCCACAAATTGGTACCCGCCGAAGGATCTGTGACAGGAGGCACGGAAGTCACCTTGCTGGGCAATGGCTTCTACCAAGGCCTCGAGGTCATGTTCGGCGATACTGAGGCCACGACCACGACATTTTGGGGAGAAAAATGTCTGAACTGCATTGCACCTCCAGCTCTTCAGCCAGGCGTTGTCCCCGTTGTATTTAAGCACGATCACCCACAATACTCACCAGTGCCACAACAATCCCAGACCCGGCCATCCCTCTTTACTTATGTGGATGATAGGGAATTGGAGATGTTCCGCCTAGCACTACGTACCCTTGGTAAGCAGCTACAACATCCAACGGATGATCCATACTCGGCCGCCCAGCAGCTTCTGCAAGGACAGCCTCATTCTATGTGGCTCGCACACGGGAGCTATGGACTAGGTGGAGGACATCAGCGCATGCACGGACACATGGCTGGAGGTCCGATGGATACGCTCGAGTTAGAAGCTATGATGTTACAGGTACTGGAGCAAATGGACTCCCAAAGGCTATTTAGAGCCCCCAAGTTTGATTTGTGTCGTCCATCTGGTCTCACCTTGCTGCATTTGGCAGCTTCGTTGGGCCTTACGCGATTCGTTGCTGGACTGCTCTCGAGGGGAGCAGATCCCAATATAGTCGACAATAACGGCCACACACCGATGCATCATGCTGCCATGAACGGCCATACGCATGTGATACATCGACTGCGCTTGACGGGGGCTAACCACAAAGCCCGCAGTATCCGCCATTTTACGCCTGCTGACCTGGCGACATCATTACTTGCCTACCAGGCCACAATATCGCCCATGGAACACTATCGGTCACGGAGTGCTGGAGGGACACCGATGCGACTGCATAGTCGTAGCTCCTCCTCTCTTCGCTCATTCTGGGAGAATGCCTCGAGCCATTATGCCACTTCTGATACGGACGGCTCAGACGTTTCGGACGATTTTGACGACGAGACGCCGACCAGAGTCACTTCCGAGGAACCGGATCTTTCGCAGGTGCTCGGGCAGAGAAATCGCAAGCAAGCCGTTAGTGTGCCTCCATCCCGAAGGGGTAGCATGCCACCGACGACGTCTCAAGCATCAAGTTTCCCCCCAGAGAATGTCCCAAGTGCAGCACCGGCAATGGCTCCATCAGCGTTCATGCTCGCGTGGAGAGATCATCTGGTAGCTCAACTACAACAATTCAATGAGAACGCCCAATCAGTTATGCCTAGTCTCGCCAACCTGAATGGCCCTCTCGCAGCTATCCAGGAGTATCAGGCATATCCTATGATGCGCCGTGTAAGCGCTCTTTTCCCTCAACGTTCAGGTTCCAGACAGCTGCAACCAGGCCAGCGTGAAGGCTGGTGGGAGACTTTGACGGGCAGATCATCCCCTTCTGCTCCATCTTCGCCTCCGGCCTATAGCGATCTATATCCAGAAGCAAAAGAAGGGACGGATCAGGACTGGAGCATTAAAAAGGCATCCACTCTGCAAGCCGTAACCGATGCTGCAGCAGACCTCCAGTTTGAGCAGCAAACCGCCAGTGAAAACGCCGAAGGGAGTACCACCTCTGGGAATGCTACTGCCTTGATAAGGAAGCCGATCGAAAAAGTCGAGCTGAGCCGGGATCGGAAATTGTTCTTCTTCTGGGTAAGTTGAAAATGGGCCAATTCTTCGTTTCGAACGCTGACATGCCACAGATCCCATTACTTGCAATCGTTCTAGCATTGATGATTCGCAACTCTGGCATTACCGATATTTTTGCCTTTTCTAGTAGCCGGACACAGCCTCTTGCCAATCAAGAGGCGGTTGGTGTTTTCTAAGATGTTTTTGGTCATGGAGACGCCTTGTACGAGTCAATGGGTGTTTAGCAGCGAATCACGGTTTTTCTTTTTCGAAAGGAAGCGCGAGCTCTCAGATGGTGGCTACGTAGTATCTATATATGAATGAGCGCAGTGATAAACATGGACTTTGTTTCGAGAATAATGCAAATGAGACTTGACCTAAGCGGAAACATCTTTGCACCACTCGATCGCCAGTATGTAACACACAGACAGACAGACACCAAGCAAAGGTGTCGTCGCTGTTCCTGGGTCGCCAATCGGATACCAAGATCCGAGCCGCCCTTCGGCTACTGAATCAAAGATCGAAAAGTGCGCAATTTGGAGCTTGTACCTTTTCGACCATTCAAGCTTTTCTCCCACGTGGACGTCCTGATTCGACGACTGCAGTTCACGATCCATGGGACCGGCACACGACTTCGACGAGTGAATCTCATCGCTACGACTACTCAGGCAATGTCTGTTGCCCGAAATACACCTCGTCCACCGCCCTACCCGTACACGTTGGCCGTGTTAAAGTCTCCGTTACGGCAGCCTCGAACCCCTCTCCCGACACCCGAGTGCGTCCCGAGGATTGTGTCGCCATGGACAGTACTTTGGAATACGAGAAGAAGCATGTGCACGAAGTGTACGAGGATATAGCGAGTCATTTCTCGTCCACACGATACAAGGTTCGCACGTCGTCCGGCAGCTCAGCGGCGCATTCAAGTTGATCAACGTGGCAGCCGTGGCCTGTAGTCGACCAGTTTCTCCGACGTCTGCCCCCTGGGTCTGTCGGTCTTGACGTGGGCTGTGGAAATGGGAAGAACTTGACTGTAAACAAGGATGTCTTCATTATTGCTTCGGATAGGTAAAGTCGACAAAAAGCCAAAGAGCAACATAAGCCAGCTAACCGTGCTTGAAGGTCAAACGCCCTGGTAGAGATCGCCCACCGCCGTCCACCGCATAGTGCCATCGTCGCAGACACCCTTAGCCTTCCACATCCAAGTGATTTGTTCGATTTCGCAATCTCCATCGCGGTTATACACCACCTATCTTCCAACGCACGACGGGTTCAGGCTATCAGAGAAATCTTGCAGACCTTAAGACCACCTTCCAAATCTCATCGAGGGGGCGGAGAAAGAGAAGGGGGAGGCCAGGCATTGATATTCGTTTGGGCACTGGAGCAGAAAGGTAGCCGACGGGGTTGGGACCGCGGCCACGAGCAGGACGTGCTTGTACCCTGGGTTCTCAAGCCGGATGTCGCCTCCAAATCCAAATCGGAGGCTCAAATGCCCGATCCACCCATCTCAGTAACATACCATCGATACTATCATCTGTATCGGGATGGCGAGTTGCAAGAGGACGCCATTGCTGCCGGCGCAAGGGTAGTCGAGTCTGGTTATGATCGAGACAACTGGTGGATCATCCTCTCCCGACAAGACTGAGATATCAGTAATTATCTCCTTGCGCTTGTTTGAGCAACACAGAGATACCGCCCATACATACGACCAGACTCCGAAAGACGCATCTTGTTGTTGGCGCCTGGTGTCTCAAATCCGATTCCAGTCTCAAGTGTTTGCAGCGTCATCCCAGTTCGACTTGGGACAACGCGTTCACAGATCACATTATCCCTCGTTCGCAGCCGGCCGTCTGCGCGATTCGGAGGTGTTGGGGTATCAAATCACTATATTACAGCTTCTTACTGCCCATCACAGCAGGGGTAATCAAAGCAAATGCAAACAATCCATCATCAAAACCCGGAATCATGGTGCCTCTCTGTTCATACCGATTTTATTCAAACATGCTTCGCTCAAACACAAGACAACATCAGGCCAATTCTTTCATTTTCATCTTTCAGCGAAAAGGAGCATGGCGGCCTCTTGGGTGGTTGTACAGATGAGGATGGTAAGGGTCTGGGGTGTGGTAAGGTGGTGCTGAAAACGCAGGCAGTCCCGCCGTGAGCTCTGCCAGGGAAGGGAGTTGCTGAGGGCCCTGTAAACCCGTCTCTGAAGGCATCGAGTCTCGTCGTAAGGGGCGCGCTGGAGGTACTCCATGTCGGAGTGGTGGTCTTGGAGGTAGAGATGAAGGCTCGATCCCGCTATTGGCGTTGGTCAAGGAAAATGGAACCACACCGGCCCGCTTCGCCATCTCATGTTCACCCATCTGCCAGTGCATTGCTTCGACGGCTCTCCATGGCATCGCCATCTCCTCTGCAACTCTCGCCCACATGTCGGCTCGAAACCTTTGATTCAAAGAAGATTAGTCGACGGGGATTTCCCAAAGGAGACAAGATGACAGAGCAGCAAGAACAGTTGTACAAGATCTTTCTTGACAGCGACGTTGGGGACAAACTGCGATCGGGTGCGACGTTTCTCAACATACCTCTCGTACAACCTTGCGAGCTTATTTTTGCGGTCCTCATCCCACTCACTTCTCCGCTCGAGATAATTCTGATAGTGGAGTCTACAACTGATGGCGCTGCGTCCGGGCAGGTGCTTGCTGATATCCTCCCACTTCATGCCATCCTGGCGAAGCTGGATGATTTTGGCGTCCTCCTCCGGGGACCACTTGGACTGTTTCTTCGCCGGAGATTGGATTGGGTGGTCCTGGCTAGAGGAGAGTCTCTTCGCAGGCACCGCCGGCCGCGGCTGGGGCGGTGGCAGAGGAGCCACGCTGGTGGCAACACTGGACGGCACCGACTCTGATCGAGATACTGAGGCGGGAGAGCTGGTTGACTGGCCGTCGTCCTCTTCAGTCGGTTTGAGCAGCGACGAGATATCCACGATGGGTGATGAGACGAGGTTTTGGTTCGTGAAGGATGGAGGGAGGGTTGTTGCCGGAATTCAGTGGGTGCTGCCATACACGAAGAAGACGGGAATGGACAGAAAAAGAAGTCGAGGAGGGATTCCTGGAGATCAGGCTGAGAAAGCGAGCACAGGCGGAACACCACAGAGGACTACTAATGGCAGGAGAAAAGCTCGCTTCCGATGAGAGTGTGGGTTGGGTCTTTGGCGAGACCGAGCGATGGCGCCGGCGTTTCTAGGTTGTAGACTTCTGGCAGACAGGGTCGGGAAACAAGACCCGGGAGAGGCTATGTAGGACAATGGCTTCATTCGAAGATTCCAGGGAACAACCCACACTACAAGGCGGGATTAGAGTGAACGTTTGGGGGGGGGAACACACAAAGGACATTGTCCACAGGATGGAGATATATATCAAGGAGGAAGACGAGGAGGGGACAACAGGGTGGATTTGTTTTTCGGCAAAAGATGCGGTCAAGGAGAGCGGGTCGGTGCGGCGGCAGCCTTCCATCGATCGCTGTTCCTTTTCGCACACACGCATTCGTGGCAGACTGGGCGGAGTGGAAGAAAGTCCCTGGGGCTCGACCGAGTCGTAAGTCGGCCAGATCCATCTCCACGCTCTCTGGGTTTTTTTTGCCCTGGCCGTGGATGGTGGGCTGCGCAAACTATACTTGTACACAGGATATGAAATGCAGCTCGCCTCGATCATTCTATCTCCATAGCTTTGCAGCTTGCAGCGGCTACTGGCGTTTCTGCACGATTCGCTTCCGGTGGTCGCGAGGACTTCTGGGGCAGCTGATATCATTGTCCGTACCTGTTTCTCCCTGCTCTTGTTTTCCTTGTTTGCTTTCCCGCCTGACCTGGAGAGGGGAGGGGGGGAAAAAGAGATGCAGTAAGGGCGGAAAGGATCCAGTTTCCCTAGGGGTCCCATTTCGGCTTCTGGCACTAAAAACGACATGGATAGCTGCATGAGATCGAGAAGGGCGACGGTCGAGGGTCAAAAAAAAGTTGTGAGCGTGACTGTGACTGTGACCATGACCATGACCTTGTCCAGCATCCCAGTTCTAGACAGGTATCGTGGTGTGCCCGGGCCCCGCCGCTCAAGGTCGATGGATCATGGGAGAGGCTTGCATCACGATGGAGCAAGAAAGACCGGCTACACTACCGCTAGTCGGGCGGAGCAATCCATCACGGCGTCAAACTTGGACGGACCCAGGAGGTGGGTTCAGGACTTTTACGAAGGCGAACTAAAGAGCCTGACGGCTTCGAAAGTGGGATGGTGGCATACAAGTTCGTCAGATGTCCTGGGAGGGTTCGTCTGCGCTCGCCGTTGGTGGCAGAAGACTAAGACCAGGCGTGGGAAATGGGACAAGATGACAAGCATGCAAGACATGCTCCTCCCGCTGTCGAGTGCTGTCGAGGGATATAGAGAGAGGCGAGATGGTCACAAACAGGACTCACTGACGAGCATTTCCGAGGTCGCCGCAGGTCCAGTCTCGAAATGGGCAACTGGGTGTGGCGGTCGCTGTGGTGTATATTTGGCTCAAAAGGTCAAGAATCTCACCCCATGTCGCGAGCCTCCTTGTTTCATCTCCATTCTTTCCGAGGATCGTCCAACCTGGTCGTTCCCATGCAGACCGACAGTTACACTTTTTAGTCAGAAAAGGGAAACGCCGTGATCTGGAGGGGGTGGAAACGAGGTGGATTGTTTAGAACTGGCTGGATGACCGGATGGCTGGCTGGCTGTAACAGCAGATGGTTGAGAGCCGAGCGACGGGTCCAGGGTAGAAGTGTTGGTTGTTGGGAAGCAGTTTGGAGGTAAGACTGCGAAAGGGCAGAGACAAGAAATTCGCCTTTCTCCTTCTTTCTCCCTCTCTCACTTCACCGCATTGTCACTCGTCTTGTTTTTCCCTCCCAGCAAACTCCGAAACGTCTCCAACCCCGTCTCTCAAATGCAGGCCAGGGCAAGCAAACACCCCGTCCAAGCCCATCCCAAGCCATCCCGCCGCCCACGCAGCTCTTAGGCCGTCCGGGGAAGGCGGGAGAGAGTGCGCTCGGAATCCCACTAGGACAGAGAGGAGTATAGCGGAGCTCCAACAACGCGGAAAAAGCTCTGCGCGGGCTGGAGAAGATATAGGATGCTGGAACACCCGTGTCTCCAAGTCCGTGTCCGCGGGCGCATGGCTCATGGCCCCTTCCATTCGCCCATCTGCACTGGTGCTGTCGTGGCATGTTGCGAGACATTTTTTCCCCTTCTCTCTTACCAGATTTGCAGAGTGAAGCGGATAGAAGCCTCTCGTCTCCCACTCAGCCCCCTTGCTCCCCCACTGGGAAAACACTAGCTAACTAGTTGGTAGTGCTGTAAGCAGCGACAAGGACCATGGCTGGACCAACGGTCCATAGTGCGCTCGATCAGTACCGAGTACATCCATTCTTCCATCCAGCCAGTCAGCCAGTCAGCAAGACGGCCCATCCTAGCCCATCCCACCGCGCCCATCCTCCACCCGGACAACACCAAGTGCTTCTTCTGTGCGTCACTTTTCTTCTGGTGTCATACATAGGAGGGATCAACATGTAAATCACCCGCACGAACGAAGGGGTAAAAAAGATACCGTACTGGTACGCTACAGCCGGCCCCATTCCTCCTTCTCACGCCAGCCAGGGGGCAGAAAAGAGTGGGGACGTGCTACTGTGTTACGAACCGAGTCAGTGTGCCCCGGAACGATCTGGACTGGATAGGTCACACAAACACGCGCACGGTGTGGGATCTGCATGACTTGTAACATGACGATGCCGACGACAATGCGTCATTATGGTATGCTTTGTATAGCTTCGACATGAGCAAATAGGGCCATCATCGCCATCATTCTGCCAACAATTTATCAGGCGGTGAAAAGCGGTGAGTTCACCGACTATTCCTGCTTTGATGTTGGCCAGGTACGTACGCGCACAATTAACATTCGGGTATCCAGGGGGGAAAGATCCTGCCTGCTGCATGGCATGAATCATAGAGGCAAAACGTGTTCGATTGTTGGCTGCCTTGCATCACAACCTTTTGCTGCAGGGTCGCCGGGCCCAAACCTTACAAGCCTGGAGATGACAGCGCACAAGCTGAGAGGAACCCATCTGCAAATGCAAGGCCGTACGCAAAGCCAAAGACTGGAAGCAAACCTGCTGAGGGCAAACACGTATTTCATACTGCTCTGGCGAGCCGCCTTTTTTCTTTTGCATGGGCAAGTCAGCAGATTAGGAGGTCATGTGCCAAAATCGCCCAAGCATGCAAAGCAGTTGGCCGTTGAGACCGAAGCCAGGTCTTCCTTGTCAGAAAGTCGGCGCCTGGAAACGCCGAAGACAGGACAATGACAATGCCTTTTGTTTCATCACTGGGCGGAGAACAGGTGTTGCAACTCTTGCAGGTCGCCAATGCACCCGACACGAACCTCGTTCAGGTCCTGGCGAACTCAAAAAAAGGGTGCGAGGCACTGCTCGGGGCGTCCCTCTGTGGCGACGGAAATCTGGGCCGGGCAACAGAGCAAACAAGGACTGCCTCGGAGCATGAATCGAGGCTTTGTTTGCAACCCAAAAGCTTCAGCCCTTGGCAATGATCAACCCATCCAAATGCCGAATAGCAAGTGGCACAAACT